TAGCATTCATGATTAAAGAGCTTTTCTGGAGTAAGTTGTTGGGTGGGAGGATATTTACTTTCTAAACAACTTCATATCAAACATTTTTCAGTTTATCCCTGCAACCTGCTAACATCCCTTTCACTTTTGTTTCTGCCCCAATAAACTTTGAAAAAATAACAAAACTGTGTTGCCACTAAAACCAGGTAATTTTCTAGATGTGAATGAATGACAGAAAAGACTGGGAAGTGAACTATTATATTAACAAAACATAATACAGACAAAATTTGTGTTTTTTACAATGAAGTATTCCCGGGTTTGGAAAATGATATAATCAGAATGCATCCTGGTTTTCTTTTAAATGAAGTATTTCTTTACTTTTAGTTCTGCAATTTAAATACGCCTGGGAATAGCAAGAGTGGGATTATCTTTTAATTATTTAGCCGGTGTGCACATATGCATTTGTGGAGCACTATCTGGAACATTTCCCCTGAATTTCCTCATAATCTACTCATAAATCTCTATCTCTGTTAAAAAGAAAATAAATCTATCACCATATAGGCATGTCTACACATATGGCTGGAATTCCTATTCTCAAAACTAACTGTGTGATGTTGATAAATAACTTCATAGGAGTAGGAAATGTGTGAACAGACAACATATTTGCGTGGACAAGTCCTTTAGATTTAATACGTGTGATTTTCTAAAACCAATAAGATTTCTGAGTGTCCTACACATAGATAGGTCACCTATGTTTGTTGTGACATTTTACTTGAATTCCATATTAGAAGTGAACATATAAAATATTCTACCATTGCTTATTTGACATTGGCACAATCCATTGCTATTTACAATATCAGTCTATTGTCATTTTGATATATTTATATTGTCTGCAATATGCATTTAGAAAAATGGTAATTTAAAAACTTTCATCATTATCCATTGATGTATTTTTTTTTTAAGAACAAAGAAATAAACTGGACTTTCCAAAACTGATTTACTGTACATTAGTTAACAAATAGGTTTGATTTGTAGAATTCTCTCTCTTGTATTTGACTTGACCTTAAGTACGACTCTCCAAGGTACTTTTGTGAGCTATAATTCAATGTAATTTAATTACAGGAACTGTGTTCTGTGGAAAAGATAAGATTACCTACTGTGAGCAAAACAAAGGCTTTGCTAATTATACATCAGAATTAAGCCATATTTAGTCTCACCTCATCTAATGCTGCAAAATTAGAACATTTTAATATATACCTAACATTTGTTTGGGTTGACCTTTAGAAGTAATAAAGTTGCTCCTTTTGATCTAGAATTCATATTGGGATAAAGTGTACATATTTCTACTATGTTACAAATGATATTTATCCATGATAGATTATACAACAGATACTTTCTGACAATTGTGATTTACCCCAAAGGTTTTCAGCAAAAGGTTAGAGAAAGACAGGAGAAATGTGAAAGTTATATTTGCTTTAAGGATGCTTAGGGAAAATTGCAGAATGCCAGAAAGACTTTTCCATCTGATACAGTGATTTTATTAAACCTTTTGATTGCATCAAGCATAAAAAAGTTTGAATTCTTACAAAGGATTGGCCTAAAACAAAAGCTACAAGACTGGTGTAATCAGCCTTGGCAGAAAGCAGTAGTATTTAGAGCATATAAGTTTTCTTTTCCTAGCATGTTTCAACTTAGGCCATGTCTATACATACAGCTGTGCCGCTGCAGCACATCTGGTGAAGACACTCTATGCCGACGGGAGAGAGCTCTCCCATTGGCGTAATAAAACCTCCTCTGCGAGTTGCAGAAGCTATGTCAGCATTAAAAGGTCTCCTGCCAACATACCCAATGTGCACATGAGTGCTTATGTCGGTGTAACTTATGTTGCGCGAGGAGGATGGAATATTCACACCCCTGAGCGACATAAATTTTGCTGGCATAGGCTGTAGTATAGACAAACCCTTAGATAAGAGTGTGAGTATGTGATACAGAGGCTCCTTGGCAAAGGGCTCCTGTTCTTTGCAAACATCTCTCACCTCAGACCTGACAAACTCACTGCACCAAACACATCTTACAGGATATTTATCCATAAAGAGTAACATAAAAGGTATCTATAGAAAGCTCATAACTTGTCAAGACTCAATCATTGTGAGATGTATGTACGGATATTTAAGAAATAATGTATTTATACTGAAAGCTTTATGGACGTGGAGTAAAAATTAGTCACCGGCGCAACATGTTTCAATGTCGTCTCATTCTAGCAAGAGGGAGTTGTCACCCCTCCCCAGTCAGCTGGCAAGGCAATGCAAGGGTCTATTATCTAACCTGGCCACATCCCAGAACAGTCAATGGAAAACCATCAAAGACAATTGCCAATCATTGAAACCACTTGGAGGTGAAAAGGAATATTACAGCAGGCAGGATATCACCAGGGCTATGAATAAAGACAAAAGAGCGAAAGGCACTCTGGATCCATTCACTGAGGAAACCACTTAAGGAGCAGGGGGCTTTCATGAACATTTAGATCCTGATTCTTGTGACACCCGCCAGCTCAGCAATTGACTGAACCCTGAGGGGAAAGACGACCTTATTATATAAGAAAGATAACCATTGGTAAGTGTAGACCCAGGTTTGCGTTGTCATAAGTTGTTTCTATCACTTTCTCTCACTTCACTAGTTAAATCTTTATTCTTTCTTAAATAACCCTAGTTTTGTTTTAGTATAAGTGCTCACAAGTGCTGCGTGGTTTACAGGTGCAGTGATTTAAGATAAAATGGGCGGGTCTGGAATTTTTGTGAGTAGCTAATGTTAGGGGCTGAATATGGCAGGGGAATAATTCAAAAGGACTCAGGGATTGGGGTGTACCACTTATTAACCTGCAAGGTGAAGTTAGGGATGGCATAGCTCAGAGAAGAGTGCTTGAGTGGCTGAAAGACTCATGGTGTCAAGGAGCTGACACCCAGCTACCGTAAGAAAGACTTCCTCTTGCTGGAGGTAGGGGGTAACCAAGGTGAGACACAGTCCTGGATGCCCTGAGAACTGTCACAGAGTGTTTTACAGATGTTTTTTAAACTAACACTCTGAAATGATGATAAAGGTTACACTTAAGGCAAAGCAAAAAGTCACTAGAAGAGATGTGAGCAATCTTCATTATGCACATGATACCGTGATTGTTGCAAAAAACGAAGTATTGTACTCCAGAAATTCACACAGAGATCCAAAAAGTGTGAAGAATTTCAAGTTAAGGTAAACCCCCAAAGAAACAAAAGCCCAGGCAATATTATGACTATCGTGCCAAGAATTCAGATCGGCGTGTAATGCAAGCCAACTGAACAAATGGCAAGGTTTCAATATCTGGGATGTAAGATTGCAACAGATGGCAAGCAGGAGAAAGAACTGAAAATAAAATGGAGAACATTTTTTAGTAACATAAGAGAAGCAACTGTATATTTATACATTAGGTTAACAAAGTTGTGCCTAAGAGAAAAGCAGGGGCCTTTATTTGGGTGTAAGGACCCGGGCAGTGCTTAAAGAGCTGGAGGCCAAATTCTGCCCTGATCTACACTCCTGCAACTACACTGGGCCAGAGTCTGATTTCAGTTACACCAGTATAATAGCAGAGTAACTCTGGATTTATACTGGTGTATCTCACAGCAGAATCTGGCCTACAGCATTTAGGAAGCATAAGATGCCAGAGAGAGACAGGAATGCAAACAAGGAAGCTTTTGAAACAGAGTCAGATATGAAAGGCCATATATTACATATGGCAGGTAATCATCAGAGACTCAAAGAGAGTTAGAAAGTTATCTTATGGGGAAAGATTGTACCAGAGCAATATCAAGGAAATGAATGGTCTTGAAAGGACAGAAAATCAGATTCAGTCAGCTGAAAAAAGGCAAGTTTGGTGGCAAATCTTGACTGCCAGCATCCTGTCCTAGGGATTTGGCATGCTGACGGAATCATTTTTCTACAGTTTTTTAGGTGTTGTGACATGAGCCGTTTTCAAATACAGCTACAAACCTTTGCTCAGTGCCACACCACGCTAGATACTTCAATTTTTTAGCTAATTACTTCTTATTAAATTTATTTCAGCAGGGTAAATAATCACTCTTGAGACAAAAGCCTCATGTGGGTGCAATGGCCAGTAAGGAAGTAATTACTTCTTTTTAAATAGACAACAAGTTCTAGTATCCTGGGAAGAAGTTGTGGTCACTCACCTCAAGGGATTAATGGTCACAATACATGAAGTCAATGTATGTAGTGTTACATACATTCTGAGTGTTTTCACCATAAAAAATGGAAATCTCTCCCGCATGGCCATAACTTTAAAAAGTGTATGTTTAAAATTCTAATAGCCAGATGAATTAAGAGGTCTATACAAAACTCTAAGAAAACTAGTTTTCACTTAACTCAGCTGTCGTCAATTAGGATAAACATACTTGCATATGCAATTTGATAGACATGGCTCCAGACCTCAATATTTACCTCTGCGGAGGTATTGAATAGACGCTTAGCTGCTCATCACATGACTCTTTTGTGTCAATCATAAGTCAGGCTTTTTTCTCTTGTAAGTAACAAAATGCAACCTACTTATATTCAAGATCTTAGTAGGACAGTTCATTAGGATTTCTGATAAATACACATTAATAGCAATCAATAAAAAATGTTCATAAATACAAACTGTGAAACTGCAGCAAAAATCAAATGGAAAAATGGCAGACTTACTTTGTTTCCTCACATTTTGTTCAACACTGTCTTGCTTTGAGCTTCCCCTTCCAGTGTCATGTCTCCTATGAAGGAAACTGATTAAGATATGGAAGGTTGAAAAGAAAGGCAGCTGAAATCAGATTTTGTTTGTTCCTTTTAAAAGTCCTTTCAAGGTGGGGAAAATTCATGCATTTCCCATTATAATCTTAGAGCTCAATGGCAGCTGCTTCAAGCTGGCTATGGTGTGCAAAGTTCACTGTCATTAATGACCGACTGCCAAACTGTCAAGAAAAAAATTAACCAATACTCACAAAGAGGGGGAGAATGTGTGGCAGTTTTATAAACACACTTTCCAATAAAGCATACTGTGAACTATAGACTATTGCACATTTCAACATAACACAAGAAAAGTAGGGCGTTCAAAAGATAATACACTCTGTAACATAGAAACATACTAATTAACTTGTGCACAGAAATCAAAACATGGATACAAGACACCACTGCAGTCAAACCTGTCTTATAGTCTGCTTATGTTTTTAGTGACCTTTAGGAACTGGTCCAAACTGATTATCAGCAATACATTTTTTTGTTATTTTTTTTAAAAAAATATTTTGAGACCACATTTTTGATACACATATATATAATTCTGTGGTCAAAAACAGACAGACTTAACTTTAGCGATACTAAATAAAAGTGCAAAAACGTTCAAAAAATGAAACAAAAAATATGGAAGCATAAGCTAAAAAATTTCTGCATAGCTGAAATCTATTTAAAGCGAGTTCTTGGCAGGGGGTGCTGACAGGAGGAGAAAGCAGTTTTTTAAAATGTCTTCTGCGTGTTTGTTTCAAATAATGCAAAAATGTCATTTCGTCGGCTTTTAAAATATTTCACAGGCAGTTCACTCCTGCATCCTTAGACACCATTGTTGTGGCAGCACCTCCGTCTGCAAGATAAACAGCAGTGTTGGATTTAGAGTGGACTGCCCTCTCGCTGCCATTGTTGTTGACCTCGCAGTCCAGTGGTTCGGTGGAGATGACCCATGTTGAAGGGCGCCACCGCTTAAGTGAATATGGAGTTTTCACACGTTTCTTGATCTTTTCTCCTGAACCCGGTTTGCCATCTTGTGATGGGTCACCTACTGAAAATAAAAGTAGAAAATAAAATGTTACAAGAAGAGCATGCTTGAGAGTTCAAGGTGGTTACATGTACGTGTAGGCTGAAAAAAACAAATCCTGTCAAAACTAGCAATAGTGACAGGAGAGGTGACTAGTATTTATGTACAGTAGGTGCCATTAAAACAAAGGGCCAGATTCTGCTCTCCATTATTACAGTGTAAATCTGTAGTAACTCCAGTGGAGTCACTTCAGTTACCCTACGTATACACTGGTGTAAGAGAGTAGAATCGAGCCCTCAGCATTTACATTAATGTGACTTTTGTAACCATGCTATTTTTCTATTCTTGGAATGGGAGACAAAGCACTACTGCAATATTACAGGACAGTAAATGCTGAGTTTTTAAATGGTATCATTACATCATTTACCTTTTAAATTCCATTCTACCTGGCAAATAGGTTCTTACATATGTGATCACAGACAAAACCTAACTTTTCATTTTGAGGCCAAATGTTCTATTCCAGGGGTCAGTAACCTTTCAGAAGTGGTGTGCTGAGTCTTCATCTATTCACTCTAATTTAAGGTTTCGCGTCCCAGTAACATATTTTAATGTTTTTAGAAGGTCTCTTTCTATAAGTCTATAATATATAACTAAACTATTGTTGTATGGAAAGTAACTAAGGTTTTGTTTAAGAAGCTTAATTTAAAATTAAATTAAAATGCAGAGCCGTCTGGACCGGTGGCCAAGACCTGGGCAGTGTGAGTGCCACTGAAAATCAGTCATAGGTTGCCTACCCCTGTTCTATTCTCTGATTTTCCTGAACCAGGACTTGAATCGAGGATGGTGAAACCTTTAAGACAGCTGCTTGTCACCTTTTCTGTGTTTAAATATCAGCAACTGAGATTTGAATGTAAAAAAAAAAAAAACCCCGCAAACCTAACTTAATTCATTTTACTAAATGAGAACAAACTGAAGCTAGAAAAACATTCCACCAGTGAACATTCAACTGTATTTAATGAGTGCTGTGTTGCTGGTTTGCACTCTTCCTTTCCAAAAAGTATCAGTGTGTTTTACATTGCTAACTTAAACATATGCATCTCCTCAGTTTCTGCTGGGAAAACCCCCCCCCCATCCAAATAACTTTGCTAATATTATATTCTCTGTCTGCCTAAGCACATTCACAGCCTTCCAATCACAGTTACCTTGGCTCCTTCCAAGAACACAGGGTATTTTGGAAAAAAAAAATGTTCCCAAAGAAAGATAAACAGGCCTTTCCAATAGTCCCTTTGAAACTGAACAGAACAGGGAATAACTAATGGAGGCTATAACTAATGGAGAGCTTAGCTGTAACCTTTCATTACTTTTGCCTTGCAGGGAAAAGACAAAAAGCCCATTGTGGCTTCTTTGCTGTTGAAGCCCAAAGGGTGATTACAGTTATTCTACAGTCTATTAAAATTGTTTATATCTAAAAATATGTTGCTTTATACTACCGTTGATTAATTTCTCCAACACACACACTATTTGATGACATATTTACTATTACACTGGGATTCACACAAAAGTTTGGAGCAGTCTGTAGTTTTTCTATCTAGTCTGAATCCCCTAATGGGACATACTGATCTTCCAGGTCTCAGCCCTGGTATCTAATGCTAATCATACGTGAGAGCTGCATACCAATATTGGGTACCAAGACATCAGCTCACAGGATTAGAATATTTCAAGAAAAGTAACTTATATAACTGTAATTGTTGTTACTTACCACAATAAAATCAGATGTACTTATTCTGAAAAGCTCATAATAATATAGTAGAACCAGTCATTTAAAAATAATGGAATATGTAACTAGTTATAATAATATTTTATTTTAACAACCCTGAAATATTGGACAGGGGGCTTAGGGTCTCCAGTATACCCAGGAGAGGAACTGGGACAGCAGTAGCAGCGAAGCTCTGCAAAGAGGAAGAGGTGTAGAAGTGATTGGATTTGGAGAGTGAAAGCAGAATTGATTAGAAAGGGAACCAATTTATTCCAGAGGTGGGGGAGGGAGAAAGAACTGATATATTTTCAGGCCAGGGGCTACAAATTTAATTTAATGGGAGGAGTGAAATTACACCAATAGAAATTAAATATGCATGCAATTTGGGGGGGTTGGCTATTTGGACTTTGAGACAATACAGGTATTTTTCATCCAGGCAGATATGTTTAATTCTCAGGTAAGAAAATGTTTGGGAAATTTTTCGAATCCTGTCAACACTTACACTGCAAGCTACTGCTGTCCAAAGTATTTGTGGCCGATAGATCTAGTGAATTAGGCCTCTGTGCTCTTCTAGTCTGGGTCTGCCCAGGATATGTTGTCATTCTCTGGGTGCCAAGTGTAGTAACGTCTTGCATTGGACATGGATTACTGTTGTTGTTATTGGCGTTTGTTCGGCCATTATCCAGCGGTCGCTCTCTCCTGTCCACTAGACGATCCAAAACACCTTCATCTTGGCCAACTTGCTGCTCCCGTCTCAGTAAGGGTTCATGCTCATCGGGACTTGAGTTAATATTCAGCCGACTGTCCTCGCCACTGAACTGATTCTGCAGCATTTCCTGGGCCCTGTGTGCCACTGAACTGGTTGTCTGGCCAGACGGCACTGCACCATTGGCATATTGGGTTGTTGCACCATGCGAGTTTATGCTTTGGCTCCTCCCGGCCACTCCATTCATGGTAACTGTTACCACATGAGGTTCTGCAGCATTGATAGTGTTCATCTTGGCAACTCCAGTTTCCACTTGCTTCAAGTTTGATTTGTGCTTGCCACCAAATTTCAGTCGTGGCTCCTTTGTTGAATTTTTGGTGTTTAAAGGTAGACTAGTAGGCCTCTTCGGAAGGTTCTGCTGCTTGGGTAGAGGGTAGACCTGAGTAGATGGGACATCTGGAATCAAACATGCTTGACCATTCCCAGCTTGTGTGAAGTCCTGCTGTCCTGTCACCTCTGCTGCAAGTTTGATCAGTGGGTAAAGCAAGCTGGAGCTGGTGCTGCTGAGTGGATCTGGTCCACTGAACTGTTTAAGGGAATGCTCCATTAGATTCTCATCGGAGCTCTCCTTTAGGTTCTTATCTACTTCTTTTGGATCCAGCTTGTTGGTTTCTAAATCCTCCTCTGTTAGCTGCAGACAAACAGGAGTTGGTCCAACAGGCTGCATGACATTTGTAGCATGTAGGTTTGTTTCATCTGAATAAGGCATCTCAGATATGGTAGTCATGCCAGTGCTAGGAGTGAGGCCAGTTGTGTTGGTGGTAGTTGTGTTGGTGGACAAACTGGTGACACTAGTCTCAGGGCTAGGGATGCGAGCCTGTGCTTGCTGTCGTTCATAGTTAATGGAGTTTCTGTTCTTCTCCCCTGAAGTCAATGGTGTAGTGGACACTGAATGCTCAGAAGAAATGTTCTTCACTATACTGTCAGTGTGGTGGATTGAGTCTTCAATATAAGAGGAAGAAGAGTAATCTGGATATGGCCTGATTTTTGGCACACGCCTGTGATGTGACAGGTTGCTTTAAAAAAAAGAAAAGAAAAGAAAAAAAGTCTGACATTAAGACTTCATATATATATATATATAAACAAACCGCCTCTCACCACTGAAGGTCTCTATTTTTCCCTTCATGTATAATTCGAAGACCAACCACTTAAGGAGTTCTGATAACACACTATAGCTTCCATGAAAAATTCTGGCTGCCATGAAATTGAACTAGTAGGGCAGCAGGTTTTATCATGGATGTTATTTATGTAACAAAGCCTCTTAATTGTTTTTAAAGCCAAAAGTAAGGAATTTTGTCATCCCATTTGATGATTGCCCACTTCACTGCTGAGGCTCCACTCTAAGTGCAGTGAAGAGATCTTGGTGAGGGAGGTGAAGAGAGCCCTGCAGAGAGGATGGAGGAAATGAAACAGGAAAAATCATGGAGTCACAAATTATGATAAAAATCCATGATATATAATTTTAAACACAAGTTTAATATGACAAGACACACTGTCCTGGGTATCAAGAGTATCCCCAAACAGGATCTCTAGTAGACACGAAGCATTAATAACAACTCAGCTGACTCTCCTTCCCTTTGGATCATTTACAGTCAGAAAAGGAAAATACATAGTGTCTCTCTCTGCAGATCAGAATAATTAGAAAGTCAATGCTGACCTTGTGGTTCCTTAATTGAAAAATACAGGACTGGGAATCTGAATGATTTCCTGAACTCATGTCTCTCAGCTGGCAGTGAACACACAAAGCTTTTAGCAGAAACATTTTAAACAGAAATGTTATGAATCATTTAGCAAGAGTTCCTGCAGATACTTCATAATCACTTCTTTATCTTGACTATGAAAGTACAAGGCTATTTTTCAGGCAGCTATATAACTCAGTCAGAAAGTCTGATCTTCTCTCTCCAAAATACAGTTGTGTACATCATAGGTGTATTCAATTTGTGGGCATTTGGGGATCCAAAGCTACAAGGAATCAGTTAGTTGTGGATTCATACAGTAAGTTAGTGAAAAATCTACACAAAACTAGGCAAAGTCCATATACAAACTAGTTCACACACGTTCATATAAATATGCCAGTTCCCAAGAATACTCGGCTACTGTTAACATTCTAATCTCACTCCCAGGGTTATCTGTGTACTGAGGACAGCTGACTAACACCAGACTACTTCACTTCTTACCGCTCATTCTGCATGGCAGTAGACATAGGATTGACTGTCGGGCTGACTGATTTGTTCCTCTCCCAAATCATCATGAGTTCAGCCATCCTCTCTTCAGCACACTGGGCTGTCAGTCGAGCTTCAGCATCTTGGTCCCAACAATCTTCGATTGTCTCTTTAAGGGATCTCACAGCCTGCAAGAGAAACTTTGTGTAAAATTATTCTCCTTTTTATGTTGTGTTTTTAATCTACTTTCTTATGATTTACAGTGATCTGAATAAAGCCATAAGACTGGTGTACATTTTAATGAGAGAATGAAGGTAAAAATGCACAAATCTGTTCATTTAAAGTTAGTTTACACAAAAGAGTGAACATTTACATGATGCTATAATCCTAATACCCTTTATAATGTATTACATTAAAAAAAAAACATGGTCAAGCATTCAAAAGTCAAGAAATGCCAGAATTATGGTTGCCTGTGCAACCTTCCTTCTGGCTCTGTTGCATATGGATTATGATAGTCTTTAATTACATGATCACATACTTTTTTTTTCAATTGAGGCCCTGCCTCATTCAGTGTACAGAATGCACAGTACTCAGGAATACCATCGTTTTTATCCTCATCATTCAATTGACAGTCTGTGCTTTATTTTGCTGGACACACAATTAATGCAAGAGTACTTATTTCCTCCTGATCTCTTCCAGACTGCTCATCACTATAGGATCTGAGTACCTCACAAACATTAATGAATGTCTCTTCACTGAGAGAGAAGAAAGTGTTGTTATCCCCATTTTACAGATGGCGAAATGCAGAGAGAGACTTTCCTGAGGCAATTCCATGAGTCAGTGGCAGAGGCACGTGAGACTCTGAACATTCCGCCAGACCATGCTGCCAGGCTCCACACATAGAGGTGTGGAGCATGCACAGCCGCAGTTACAAGTGCTCCACACTTCTACTTCCCCAGGGTCATAAGTGGGGCACAGAGGAAATGAGAACAACCTTAATGGCTACCTGCTAACATTTTGACTTAAGGCTTAAATTTTCAAAAGAGCCTGTGTTTTTTAGGAGCCTAGGACCCATTTTCAAAACTGACCTCAGTATTTCAGAGCCTCTTTTGAAAATGGGATTTAGGGGTTTTTGAAAAATTTAATCTAAATTTCATGTTCAGTGTCATGCACAAAAACAGTGGCAGAGATAGACCTGAGCTCTCCTGTTACAGTCAGCTGCTTTAACCACAAGACCATCCTCTTTCTTCCTGTATTTCCCTCGCTGAGCCATTAACACACCTTCCAACTTCTAGAGCAAATGAAGCAGGGAATCTACAGACTGTTTCATTCACTACACCACCCTGATTATTCCCCAGAGCACCATCCAGGGCACCAAATGAGACGGGGCCCTATGGAAAAAATAGAACGTGATCATGTAATTAGAGATTGTATCATAATTCAAGTTCAGCAAAAAAAAAATTCTGCCAGTAGTAAATTTGCCAAAAAATGCATTATGTGCAACTGTAACTGTCACATATCATGCATCATTGGTGGGATTTGAACCCTGAAACTTTTGCGCAGAACACAAGGCAGTTATTCCCATGGGGTGGGGTGGTAAAGATGGACCCAGCATATGTCCCCAGCGGTCTAAAGAGTGGTCAAGAGGAGCCCAGCCCTCTCTTCCCATTCCTCCCAGGAGGTAGGGAGAGCTCTTACCCCAACTGGTGCCCCTAGAGTGGGGAAATGGGCCAGTGGGACCATGTCTTGGGTCTGGAGGAGGTGGGGGAAATTACTAAAAAAAGCCTAGACCAGCTCTCTCCCCCCACCCCTCCGAGAGATGTTGTCTGTTCCTAGTGCTCCTACTGAAGTGTGTGTATTGCTACTGATGATTATTTTGTAAGCAGCATAGGCCCAGCATTAGATTAGAATGTACATTTTCAGTTATTATTTTGGAATGTTGCCAAAATCTTGGTGACAACACAAGAAAAATGGTAGTCACCTAAATATAGGGGCTACCAGTCCACCCTATAATAATCCTAATAGTTCTATAGTTCAGCAGAATTAGCATTTAAAATGCAAATCTGTAAAACAACACAACCTGAGCATCAATAGGGTATGTCTGCACTGCAATAACACACCCGTGGCTGGCCCCATGTCAGCTGACTTGGCTTGTGGGACTCAGGCTATGGAGCTATAAAACTGCAATGCAGACATTCGGGCAGGGCCTGGAGGCCAGGCTCTGGGACCCTTCCCCACCCTGAGATCCCAGGGCCCTGCCTCTAGCCTGGACCCAAACAGCTACGCTGCAGTTTTATAGCCCCATAGCCCAAGCCCCAAAAGCCTAAGTCAGCTGACACGGGCAGACCCAAAGAGTCCAATCAACATTGTGAACTGGACTAGCTACAACTGTGCCAAACTTGGTTCTTCCAAAGCTGTATTTACCAGTAATATAACATCAGTGCTGTAGTGAGAATAGTTGCAACATGGTTTTCTTGAACAACATGGATGAAACTGTGCAACTGTTTCTAGGTAGTTTCACTTTTTCAAAAACGTCAGAATGTCTTGCAATAACATTACTCCAGTAGACTGTGCCCATATCTGAAATGGTTTAAGACATGCTGACACATGCTAGAGCAGGTTCCCTATCACCTGCAGAGCGCAGATTGTTACACGTTGACTACCAAAGCGTCTGATGGTTCAAGAAGACAAATTTCAGCCATTGAAACAATACAACTAGAAAATCACTTTTATTAAAAGCCAAATATTTAGTCCATTTATTTTTTTTTACCCACAATTTCTCTCACTTCTTTGACTATTTTTATATTTGTTGTGAAATAAATATGTAACTCATCACACTTTGCATTTTCTACCTTTAACAAACAGCCTAAAGATAACCCCCCAATTTACAGAGATTATTTTACCTCAATTTCTAAGTAGGGAATAGTGTGCAACAGATATTCTCAGTGCTGTATGGACTCAGTGGAACAGACAAATGTTGGGAAATTTTTCTCATCTCCTAACCAGAAAACTGCCTTATTTATATTTTTTGAGAATATAAATTTTTCAAATGAAATCAAATTAATAAGCAACATGATATTTCTAAAATTTGGTAATATTTACGAAATGATCGGTGAAAGCTGTAGGCTCTGCAAATGCTGAAGAATACACATCTTGGCAAAAGAAGATATAATTTAAGAAAGTACTCAGCTTTACAATCCTTATGTTGCTTAGCTTCAATAGCAAATACTATGTAATTTTTACTAGCTAAAATTTTGGGGCATTCTTAGTTTATACAATTTCCAGATATGGAATGTCTTGATATTTCTGCCTTGTTTACGTTGAGGAAATTTGGGCACTTGGCATATAATAATAATAATAATAATATAATAAATATAATGTACTTTTGCACCTATAATACCTAAAAATCCAGTGGTAATTACAGTATTTCTCTTTTAAACCCCCTAGTTTTAATCTGAACTGTTTTATAACAATGAATTCTTTTAAATTGAATTCAGTATTTTAAAAAGTCCAGCCTGGAGCAGCTCTAGAACTTTAAATATTAATGTCAAGTAGAAGAAAAATGGATTCAACATTTGGCTTTGAAAAGTGAGAGCATGACTTAGAAAGTTAAAAAGAAGAATTTGCTTGAGCCAGCTATCTCACCAGGCTGTTCTCCTTCCAAGCTTCTGGGAATTTTGGTCGTTGCTTCTCCCTAGATACCAGTACTTGCATATCTTCAAAAGTGGGATGGTTTCCAACTTCTGTCTGGAACGCCATCTGGTACTCTGGCACCGACTCCCCTGTTGGGAAAGAAAAACAAACAAACAAACAAAAACCCCATAATGAAATCACAGCTGTAAAAAAAAGAACAGGGAATCAAGAACTTTTACATGGGAGGAGGTGGCATGGAGGTTGCTCCCTATGACGTTTTTTCCCCTTTCTCTTAAAACAGAAATTTTAAATTAACAAAATGTAGTTTAGTTAGTTAAATATGAACAAGTCATTGTTTAGAACTGCCTTGGGAGGCACTCAAAACTTTGCCCAATTGATGGGTGCATTGGCAACTGGCCAGGAACCTGTGGGACACATCTAATTTGTATGAAACAAAACAGATTGTATGTAACATGGGAGGGAGGCACAATCAGACTATAGGTCCCAGCATGCAATGTACAGCTGTTCCGCTATAGATGGAATACTACATGCCAGCACCTGTTAAATCCACAGGATGCACCTCAGTAATAAATACAAGAGTGGCTCTGGGCTGCATTCCCATGGGTTCCACTTTACCTGCCCATTTCCCCTTCTACCATATTACAGGCACTGAGTGAGTTTTCAGGGGATACTGGTATCGAAAGAGTTTAGCATGAAATGCTAAAGGAGTAGCTGTGAAGATCCACATTGAATCATCGCAACTTTCCATGCACACTAGAACGGGCGGTTTGAGAGAAACATGGGATGCTACATCAATTCAACAGGCTGCATGTACTGATGGTTAACAGGGCAAATGAACTATACAAGGACATGTGTTTCATCCATGTCCATTGTATTACAACTGAGTACACTGTACTAATTCCAATAAAATCCTTAACACTAGATGGCACTGAGATAATGGTGAAAAACAGTTAAGAAAAATCTATTCTGTAACACAAGTGTAATGGATTGTATTTTTAAAACGTTAGAACACAAATTTGGTTTCTGATCCATATTTTTTAACAACTTCATTATTTCAGTCAATTCTTTAGTTACCTGGGAAGAGGTCTGTGCATCTCATGAAGATCTCCCAGTAGATAAGGCCTAGGGCATACATATCTACTTGTTTCAGAGCAGATTCACAGTCCCTCAAGTTCACTGCTCCTTCTAGCACTTCAGGAGCCATATAGCGGATTGTACCAACCTGTAGGAACCAACAGTTGCACTCTTAACTCACAAGGTAAAGCCTACATTTGACTCAGTTTATTACAGATCCTATTTATTATTCTTACCCTACCTTGTGTTTCCTTCTATCATTTAGAAGAAAAAGCAGTTACTTCCATTATGTATATTCTTGGACTCTAGCCTCTTATCACCAGCCTAGTCATAATAAAACCTTTCCTGCGCTATGCTGCTTCTGTTATACTTATCAAATACATGCAAAATAAATGATTATATCCCTTGTATTGTGTCCTCATATTCAAGAGGACACAGTGGAAAGCTTTGATAGAGGAATGATAATTTCACAAATAACTTCACTTTATAGCAGAGTATTGTACAGGAGAGGACCTACTTGGGAAAATAATTCATCTTCTTCACCTAGGAATGTTGGTAGGGCCTCCCCTTATTTCCTGCAGGTTCAGGGAACGTTGACAACTGTATGCCTACTCGCATGTCTATCTCCACACATATTTACTCTCAGTGGGGAATAGGTAGCAAGGTCAGACCAGCCCTTCTTCGTTACCCATTGGATAGTGTTAGGTTCCACTTATGCTTGCCCTTTAAAAAGTGGTAACTTATTCTCTCTCTGCTTTTTTCTTCAGTTAGGCATTGAGTTCTGAATTTCTAGAAAATTAACATCTAAGCACTAAGCATTATTTATTTATAGTATATTATTATTATTGCTGAATTCCAAGGGAATTAGATTAACACAGTTGAACACACATTGAGAAGTGAGACTTCACTGTAAGGGAATTCAAAGTCCACTGAAATGGACTGAAGCATTCTGGGACTTTCACTCTTCTTCACTTAAAGCAGTGCTTCACTATAATTGAGTTTCCTATATTCAGATTCCACAGTATTCATGCTTCTATAAGTTACAGAAAGAAGCAGGTTCTTAAACATCCTTGCATGGGCCATCACCCCTCAATCTCCACAATCTGACCGTATAATGATGTTCAGGGGATGATGGAAGGGTCTAAATGGCTTGTAGAAAGCTGGAAGTGGGACATGGAGACTTTACTTCTATTTCACTGCTTCAAATCCAGTTCAGGGTTGGTCATGACAAAAGATTATTACCATCTGAAGGTTGTTTGGGGCCTATATGAAATGAACTGGCAATCTCAATACAAGACCTAAAGACTGTGTATCCACACCACAACAAACCCCATTGCAATTGCACCTATGTTTACAGATCTCAGCAGAGAGACAAAGGATTAAATTGGTATGGAGAGTCAACTACTCTCTGGGACCTAGCAGTGGTCTCTCCAAGTTTGGACCACTGGGCTTTGGTGGGAAAACGTGCACTGCCACTGACCTGTCAGACCTATTCTATTGAATGAGGACTTCCAACTCCAGGGCTGTCTATATGCCCTCTTTCAAAAACACTACATTTGTTTTAAAATGTTTTATTAAAAGGGCAAAAGAATCTCATCGCCCCAATGCTATAACCCACTCTTTTCAATATCTTCCCTTCATAGAAATTGTCAACCACTGCATTTACCCTATGACTTGAGAAGCAAGTATTTCAAGATTGCTTCCAAATTCATTTTTCTCTTGCTAGATACCATTTACAAATGCTCATCATTGTGTTTTCTTAATTCATGCTCACCTCACTAATAGCTGCATTGTCCTCCTCACCCGGACGTACCAGTCGATTTCCAGTTAATCTCATGGATAATCCAAAATCACTAATTACACATGTTCCATCATTCTTCACCAATACATTACGGCTGTTCAAGTCGCGATGGGAAATTGCAGGTTTATAATGGTCTATTTGGATAGATGGAAGTGTTCATTATTACTTGAGTAGCTCTTTTGCTTGGCAAAAGAGGAACCAAATTGCGTTTGCTTGTTTTTTATAGAACTTTTTTTTTTAAGGCCACTAACAATTTTCCCTGCTTACAGCGACCACTGCAACACGCTCTATTAACTACTGAAACACTGACAGGTGTTCATGATATTTTGCTGTTTATATGCAATGCATTATTATATTACATGTGTCTGACGAAGTGGGTATTCACTCACGAAAGCTTATGCTCCAATACTTCTGTTAGTCTATAAGGTGCCACAGGACTCTGTCATTATTATATAATTGCAATGCATAGATCTAATAATAGTCAACAAGCTTCTTTTGATTCCAATAGATAGTTCAGCATTTTTTGGCAGTGTAGCTATAGTGTATTTAAGCATGGATCTGCTGTCACTGATCTAATGGCCAGTCCACATGAGATCACCATATTCATAGAGTCCTCATTTAAAAGAAAGCACCAGCAATTCACTATAATTAGCTTGGTGTCTGTGCAGAAATTGGACAGATGGGGGCACTTATATCAGTATACGTCTCACACTTATTCCAATGCTTGAACACACTACAGTACTACTGAAATGGATCTCAGTTGCCCCACAGGAGAACCTCAGATTCCTCTTAAATTTACTACTCCAGTTGGACAACTGAACACACATTGGGTAAGTCTACACTGCAATTAGACACCCATGGTTGGCTTGGGCCATCAGACTTGGACTCATGGGCCTTGAACTAAAGCGTTATTTAATTGCAGTGTAGAGGTTTCAGATCAGGCTGGAGCCCAAACTCCGGGACCCTCCCACCTTGCAGGGTTCTAGAGCCTGGGCTCCAGCCAAAGCCTGAACATCTACCTTGCAATTAAACAGTCCCTTAGCCTTAGGCCCACGAGCCCAAGTCAGCTGGCACGGGCCAGCCAGAGGTTTTTAATTGCAGTATAGATGTTTTTAGCAAATTTTTGTAGATTTCACTATAAATTGTATAATATGGCTGAACAAATTAAATGTAAACCTTTCTGGAAAGGTTTATTACAGAGGCTTGGCAATGCTTTTATCATAAAATATTGTGACTATAATCTTAACAAGAATTCTTAAGTTACTACTGCTAGACAGTGGAACAATTTATATCCATTATTTGAATCAAGACTTGTTTACTACAACAGCCAAGACTATAGAGGTGATTTTGTTATGATCTGATGTTCATAGAACCACAGGAGTTTCTTAAACACCGCAAGCTCCTTGCTGGCTTTTACAAATCGGTCTATTGCTCTATCTCTATGGTGGTGGAAGGCTTACACAGTTATAGCTGCTTACGGAGAGACCTGGATGTACATTTCAAAATGATTAAATTAAAGTGGTGGCTGCAGTTTCACTAGCATACATGAATACCAAGTATGGTAGCACCAGCCTAGTATTTAGAGGGCTATTCTCCTTTATGTTTCACTGTCTTAGCAAATATCAATACTTATTTTTATGTAACCTTGCTTTTAATCTAAAATTCAGCACACTCTCAAATTCTACTAGTTACTGGTGAACGGATCTTTCTACAGCTTTTTATCTTTTCCATTTGTAACAAAAAGGCTAATACCTCACTGCCTGCCAATACTCTGTAATTTTTTACATCACACATCTCAGAATATGTCTAGTATGTAATACTTTAGTTCCCAAAATGTTAAATGAAGCATGCAAGCACAGAAGAAAAAGGCTTATATCAGTATGTTGTCTCATCTAGTGCTGTAATAAAGCATTAAAGTATATAGGTGATGTCATTTATACACCAAAAAGATATGATCTTTGTCCTGAAATAAAAAATGAAATAGTATGAAAAATAAAACTACAATAAAACAGAAGATTTAAATATTTTCCTTCCATATACATCATACCCACTCTTTTTTAAACCACATACACTACTTCAGTGACCTATATCTGAACTGCACAACATATCAGAACACTTCATCCATTTTCTTTCATTAACATACTGTACGTTAAATTCTTTAGGTCTTTAGTAATCTGTTGCTATGATACAGCAGAATTGTGCAACTCTGCTTCTTGCTTGCCTGTTTATAGGATTCTGTAGTATCTCATTCCACATTTTCATAAAAGTGTCTACAGATCTACATCATGGTCCTGGAGTACTCAGGAGATCAGAATGTACTACAGGAAGCTCTGTGTAGTCTGTATTTTGAAACATCATTTCTCAAACCATGCATTTTCTCTTCGCTACTAACATTAAAAACAAAACAACAACCCCCCGCCCCCAACTACTAGCTGATATCATCCCAGTTATTGTGGTGTAAACATGTCCCTTCCTGACCATACCTCCTCGAGGTAACTCCGTGTGAAGGTATGCCAGGCCCCTGGTTACCGAATGTGCCAAACGACAGGAGCTCACCCAATCACTGGTGTGAAGACTCAAATACTTGCACAAAGAACCCTAGAAAAAGAATAAAAACAGTGCATTGAAATTTTATCACGTTGAATAACCAAATCAAAACCTTTTCAAAGGTCCACATCACACGCAGTGCTCCCTAACACCCTGATCCTGAAATTACTCATCAGTCTACCCGCATGCTATCAGTTGCTGGATCAGGGCCCAAGTTTACCTTTATCAGTGTTTGTTGCTGCTATTGGTTTTTTGGTTTAGTCAGAAAATGAAAGTAGATAAACCAAGAGAGTGCATTTATTTTTTGCAGCTGTTATAATGTTCTGAAATTCCTGATGAACAGTGCCTGAACAAAGGTAATTGAAGAAACTATGTTCAGTACAAAATGGTGGACTTTGAATGATATCAGGATTTTAGCCATAATAAGAGGTTTACTAACTTATCTCCCTGGTATTTTCCCAGTCCCAGCAGATTTAGGCTTGGTCTTCACTACCAATTGATGTTAGTATAACTATGTCACTCGGGGTGTGCAAAATCCACCCCCCTGAGCAACGCGTTCACACCAACCAAACTTGTAGTGTCGACAGCGCTTCGTAGCCAGGAGGGCTTGTGCCGTTGACATAGTTACTTGAGAGGTGGAATATATACGTCGACGTAGACAGCGTCTTCACTAAGTGCTATAAGGTTAGGCAAGCCCTCAGTCAGTCAAAAACATTGCAGGGATAGAAACAGGAACATCATGATCCCCTTTACCACTGAGAGAAGTTAAACAAGGAAATAGAGCTCCTGACAAAGCTGTGGAGGAACCCATCTGAAAGAGAAACTGAATGCTGTCATTTTGGGAATTGAAAAGATTCTAGATAGGTCTTATTTTCAAAAAGTGTCAGAAGAAAAACTCCAGTCTCTTCTATCTGGAAGATGCAAGATTCCCAGTAAAATAAGAGCCAGATCCTGCCAATCTTTACTCCCACAAGCGCTCCTTTATGCAAGTAGTCTTACTAACATTACAGTCCATTAAACCTCCCCTCCCCCCCAAAGCCCAGCCACAGGGCACCCCCCAGCCCAGACACTCATACCCTCTGCCCCCTCCCTGAGCCCAGTATGGGGTGCTCCTCCAGGCCCGACACCGGCACCCCTTCCCCTCTGAGCCCAGCCACAGGGCACATCCCCAGGCCAGACACCCACATCTCCTATCCCCAGAGTCCAGGTGCGGGGCATGCCCCAGCCCAGACAGCCACATCCCCTATCCACAGACCTCAGCTGTGGGGTACCCCCCAGTCCAGACATGTGCAGCCCCTCCTCTTAGAGCCCAGGGATCCAGAGGGAGAAACAGCCTGATGCCGAGTCCCGGACTTGTACGGAGTTTCCTGCACACTGCCACCTTCCTTCAGGACATGCTGGGAAATGCAGCTGCTGGGAACCCTCCAGCTCCCCCTCCTCCCAGCACTGTCTTATATTTGCAAGCTAGGGAGCTGGTCTCTGCTGGGTCCAATGTCCCCTAGTGGCAGCCAGCAGCTCTGCAGCCCCAGTTCTGTGGGGGGAAAGGAAATTCTGTGCAGAACACTAATTCTGCACAAATTCTGCATTGCACAGTGGTGCAGAATTCTCCCAGGGGTAGTATATGCATTACAATACAGTGCTTATTTACATGATTGCATACTATGTTTGCCTATAAGACCCGCTTCATTTCATACTCAGGTATATAAATAGCACAATGGCAAAAGCATATTTTTTCCACTGTTTTCATATTTGAAAATTAGCTGAACTAGTTTTACTTGATCTTTCAAGAACAATTTTTTCTCTCTCTCAGGTTAAGATCAAGTGTGGAAAATTTCAACCAGAAAATTAAGTTTTGGAAAGTGATTTGTAACAAAAAGGCTAGTACCTCACTGCCTGACAATACTCTGTAAACTTTTACATCACACACCTCAGAATCTCTCTGATATACAATCACAACACATTTTTGGCTTGTGTAAACCACTGCACCTGAGGTCTGCATGTGACTGAGCTTTTCCTGTGGGAGTTCTTGGTTTGTAGAGGTCTCTCTGCTTACACATCTATCTATCACTGCTACTGCTTTTTCAGAGGCATTTTCAGTTTTAATCACTGTTAACTAAGACATTCTTTATAGCATTCAATTTTAATCACTGGCCCCTAGGACACTGTCTCCTTTATAAATTATGCCACATTGTTTGGCTTTTAAAATATTTTATATTATTGTATTCATTTTTAATTCTCACTTAAAGTGTGTATGTATGTATATATATAATAGCTTAAAATATCTTGGATGGGAAGCATTTATATATAAGAAATAAATTATTACTATTGATTAAAATAATTGCCCTTGGATATTCCATTCCTGTTTGAACACTGATGCTCCCCACCCATTTTCACCCCAAAGACTCATCCCACAATCCTCATCCTTCTGGATAGTAGAGAATATGGTATTAGTAGCTCAGTTATACAAGGACAAATCTCATTTTTAAAAGTTATCCAATTACCTGAATATATTAACTATTTTATATATTAAAACCAACAAGAACCAAATAAATAATTCTGAAATAAAAATTAAAGCTTGTGTTTGTTATATATATTTCACATACACTTCAATTATTTTATAATAATTATTTCAGCATCAATATATGTAATATTAGTTATGATGTATGCACACAGCCCCAATGATGAAATTCAGCCAGTTCTGGTATGAGGTCAGCAAATCAACCAGAACAAAGCATACTACACAACATTTTGGCGAAGGGTATGAAGAAAATTATTCCCATCAGTCTCATTTCCTGACTATCTTTTTTAAACAAATATACCATGGGGTCATTAATGTCCACATGGAGCAACCACACTCATCCTTAGTTTTTAAGATCTCATGTGAAAGATTACTCTCCACCTCCCACCCCCCATAAGTTGCATAGAACTCAGTTTATTTGCTGTGGGAGAATTAAGGTGAGGTGATCCAGTATTTCTTGCCTGGCCTCAGGCCCCTTTGACGTACACTGGGCCTTTATGACTTTGCTCTTCTAGCCTCCTAGTTCAACTCCAGCTATTCTCAAATCCTTATGTCATATTCCTATCGGCTCCAACTCAGAGAGTATAGCAGAAGTGATACCTGCTTAGGGCCTCTGTGCCCTCCCCAGCAGTCTCATATCAGTCCTCAGGGGCTTCTAATCCTGTTCCTTGAATAGCTTTCTGCCAGTCTGCTGCTGGTGCAAAGTGGTTCTCAGCCTCTCTGGCAGCAACCCCCTTCTGCCCGGGCTGCAGTTTCTCATGTCAACTGTTGCTGATCAACCAATTGGCCACAGCTGAGCGGGTAGCTAGCTACTCACCCCTCAATCCCTTAGGCTGGGTCTACGCTATCACTTATTTCAGTATAACTTACACTGCTCAGGGGTGTGAATAAGACCCCTCCTGAGCAATGTAAGTTATACCGACCTAAGCACCAGTGTGGACAGTACTACATCCTCTCTATTTTACTATTCTTAAGTATAAACAAACCAATTTATTTTCTATGAAGTACTTACATTGGGATAATATTCCATCACCAACAAATATTCAATACGTCCATCTGCAGTGAATCGCTCATCTCCCACAATGAAGCGGGCAATATTGTCATGCTCCATCAGTGGGACTCTATAAATGTTCCTCTCGTTGATAAAGTTCTGGCGGTTAGCAAAGGAAAATACTTTTGCAGCCACTGGGCGCTCATCTAGGGAACCTTTATACACTGCTCCATATCGCCCCCGGCCAATCAGCTGTAAAAAGTTAAAAGTAGTCATTACATTGATTAAAATAGTAACGATCAAGAAAGGTTTTCACACTGCAAAATAGAATGGATATGTATAGCTATGGGCCACATTTTAAATTTCACTATCATATACTCAACATGTATTACCAAATAGAGTGTCAGCATTCAAGAAATACATTTTCATAAAACCGAGGTTCAGATTTGCATGAAATAAATGTATACACATGCTAAAATTTGATAATGGCATAGCTATACTTCCACAAGGAATTACTCATTATGTACAGGCAAAGAAATATACATGTGTGCACACATTTTTGGAATACAGACCTCTGACTCCAGTTTAAAAAGTTTGTTTTTAAAACTGTTACTGCCCCATGAGGGAAAGAGCAGGGTTCCAAGTAAACTATGAAGTTTTGAACACTGTATTGAATTTGGTTCTCAGAGAAGACAGATCCTACAGCTGCATTTCTGTGACCCTAAAAGTGTCCCAAACCCAGAAGGCAAGGGACTCTCTGGTATCTAGCACTGAGTTTCAGCTGGCTTGACCAGCCCAGTACCCCAACTCACTGTTGTCATAATCTGTATCTAAAAGGTGTCATGTAAGGTATTGGATGCGAACAGGTGACACACTGGTGATTAATATCATTGTGAAATGTACACATTAACACTATATATAAAATTACACATAGTCTGTAAACCAACCATGCAGGTAAAACAGATTTTTTTCTAGCCAAAGAAATGTGGGTCTGCCTGCTTGAGTGTGTCTTCCATGTTATTCAAGCCAGGTACGGCCAAAAGATAATGGGTATCGGAGATTGCAGGAAGATCATTTGCATTGTAAAAACAATCATAAACGGGGAAGAAGCCAGCATAGCATCTACACCAGACAGCGTGACTTTTACATCCAGCAGGGGAAAGGAACTTTATTAGGGGATACTCTTCAGAAAAATGCATTTCAAAGGTTGACTGGACTATAAAGAGGGGAGAGCGAACCCCTAAATCATCCTTCATCTGAGGAGTCAAAGAAACTAAGTGCTTTGAGCTCTGGCTAAAGAACATGCTGGAAGAATGACTGTGGTGAGAAAAACTTCTTTGAACAAAAGACTAGTTTGAAGTTGAGTTTTAATCTTAGAAGCATCTTTTTACTTTTTTTGTAACCATTTCTATCCTTATTCCTTATACTTGGTATCACTTAAACATATGTCCTTTTGTTAATAAACTGGTTTTACTTTTACCATAAACCAAGTCAGTGCTCTGATGGAAGGGAAGGGTGTGTTAACCCTCTAGTCAAGTTAATAAGATGCTGTGTTCTGTGTCTTTAAAAGGGGCAGTGAACGTAAGATTTTGTAGGTCCTACAGTCAGAGGGGCTGTGCACTGGAGAAAAGATATCTATGCATCCGAAGAGGTGGGCTATAGTCCACGAAAGCTTATACTCTAATAAATTTGTTAGTCTCTAAGGTGCCACAAGTACTCCTGTTCTTTTTTCTGGGACCTCAGGAACTGATTATAACCTGCTAAGCAAGGTTTGGATTGGCCAAGTCCTGAAAAGAGTTTGCTGGTGTGTCAGGGAGCTAACACATAGCTTAGCAGCAGCAAAGCTCTCACTTGTTGAGGCTAAGGGGTAATACGGTGGCTCATGGTTCCAAGAACCGCAGCACAGCGTCACAATTTACAACTGTGGTTCTACTTTGAGTAGTTACATTGTAAAAATGGCATTGTAGAATTCCACGTTTATTGTGTCTCACTTATTTTCACAGACAGCTTGCTAAAAGTTTGGAAATTAAAAATAAAATGATCCATTTCCAAATGCCAGCTGCAAAGTCAACCTGAGTCAAGCCGGGTTCCTTCCTTTTCCCACATCACCACCTGTGATGATAATGTTGCAGCACCAATTATGCACTCAGTTACATCCAGACATCCCATTATCTTCAAATGATGCTATCAGTTACACTTGTGCAGTCTCATAAGCCTTCAGCGAGAGTTGCACAGGTGTAACTGAGGGCATCATTAGCATTGCAATATATTTATTAAGATGCATGAGAAGAAAAGAAGCAAGTCTGGCTGTCAGAGTCCAAGGAGAGTTTGCATCTAGCAGTTAAAAAAAACCTATATTTTTATTTCTAAATGGAACAATCTTGATATGAAATTAGCGAGACACAATAATTATAGGGTACTACTAAAAATAAATATTCACCTTTTAGGGTAGAATCCTTTAAAATTTTATTTAAAATTTTGTTTCAAAACCAAACAATTTAAAACATTTCTATGTTTGAAATTGTTTTTTAAATCCCAAATAGAGTTTTTAAAGCAGCCATTGGGACACAGACATTCAAAAGGAACAAATAAAAAATGGTGGCTGCAAGACAATCTGTTTTTGTATAGTTTTTGTATAGAAGATCCTGAAGGAGCTGCAGATCCTACACTGCAATGCATCACGAAAATGTCTCTACTGCACAACCACACTGACACACTGTAGTCAATATATTGTACTGTACAACCATAACGTTGTCCAAAGGTCTATACGACATTCCAGTGCAACCATAGGCAAAACTAGATGTAATTTACACGTTTGGAGCATAGAGAAATGGAATAAACTCATTTATTCAGCATATTTTTTTAAATACACAGCACAGATAAAAGCCATATATTTCCTGTACTGCTAACTAATTTTCTTACCATCTAATATTTTGTAAAGTAAATGTTTTTTTAGCTCATGCATGACCAATCAACCTCATTGGTCACAGTTAACTGTAATATGTATACTCCTTTAGCGAGTTTATGAGCACTAGGTAATCTTACTTGTTGTATGTATTGCAAACCCAAAGAACAAAAGCAATGAGTTAAGGATGCTGTCTCAACCTCTCCTTGCTTTTAGTGGTTTGCATATCACCCTTAAAGACATATATACTTTCAGCTTGTTTAGGTTCTATATTTGCCCTGATTTAAAACTGTTATAATCTATTGAGGAAAGTCAAGAAAATCTAACTTCCACCTTTGCAACCTCCACTTTTCCATAACTCCCTCCCAGTTCTGACTCAAAATATAACCCGGTTCCAGCATAATTCCCAGTGCCTTAAACCAGTTCGGCTCCACAATAGCCCCCTAGCAAAGTTGGGGGACAAGAGATCACCCAAGCCTCAGCAGGAGTGAGTCACTCTTCTCTCAATTTATGAGAGCTGATGAAGCCTGATCAAAAGAGTGCTGATATTCAGTCAAAACCTGAACATCACAATCATGAGTAATAAACAGAGTCACATCATTTACGTGGAGACTCGCTGGGGTACAAGCTCAAACAGGGAGAGAAAGGCCAGAAAGGTGCTTTCGCAACACCAGAACAGAGGCTTGATAGAAAGAGCATACAATATCTCAGACAGGGAACAACCCCATCTGATTCCCCTACAGCAGTGGTGGGCAACCTGCGGCCAGCACGCAGCCCGTCAGGGTAATCTGCTGGCGGGCCGCGAGACAGTGTTTACATTGACCATCCACAGGCACAGCCTCCCGCAGCTCCCTGTTCGCCGTTCGCGGCCAATGGGAGCCGTGGGAAGTGGCAGCCAGCATGTCCCTTCAGCCCACACTGCTTCCCGCAGCTCCCATTGGCCAGAAACGGTGAACTGCGGCCACTGGGAGCTGCGGGCAGCTGTGCCTGGGGACAGTCAATGTAAACAAACTGTCTCGCGGCCTGTCAGCGGATTACCCTGACAGGCTGCGTGCGAGCCGCGGGTTGCCCACCACTGCCCTACAGACTGGAAAGGGGGTACTCAAAACACTATTCATCTTAAGAAGAAGACTATATCTCATTATACACTACAGCAACTGAATGCAGAGGACAAACCTGGGCTCAAAACTAAAAGCACAAAGGATGCGAAACAAATATCTATGATCTACATGATCAAAAGCCTTTTCTTGGTCAAGGAAAATCAAGCCAATATGCAAATCAAAGATTTTTGAGGCTGAAATTACCTCCCACATTAGGAAAAGGTTATCAAAAATGGACCTGTGGGAATGCAATAGGTCTGAGCAGGGTGCATGACTGAACCAGTTATGTTCAGTCTATTTGCCAAGGCATTTGAAAAAAGGTTATATTCAGGGCAAAGCGGGGACACAGGTCCCCATTCATAGGCAACAGGAAGAACCACTCGATGACAACTGAGTGGATGTTCTCTCTGATGCCCCCCTGAAAAACCTGAAGCAAGTCAGGCCCAAGAAGGGTCCAAGAGGCCTTATAAAACTCAATAGGCAAATCATCAATACCTTGTGCCTGCCTTAGAGCGAAGTCATTTAGGGCAGAAGCCAATTCTGAGAGTGTCAGATCCTGTTCAAGTTAGTCCACATACAGTGCTGAGATCCTAAGAAGATCCTAAAGGGGCCGCCAAGTCTCAGATGGACATACAGGCTCTGTGGCATACAGATCTGAGAAAAAACTCACAGCAAAGTTCCTAATCCCATCCTTTGTCTTCTAATGCTATGAAGTGTCTTGTTGATAGTGTTGGTTTATTATTTTTTGGGGAAAGGATAAACTTCTCCCTGGGACAACGAGTGAGTTCTATCGAATTTCCTTCCCTCATTATCTCAAGCACTCATTTTCTGAGATGGTCCACTCCCAGAAGAACGCACTTTTCATGACAGCTGAAGCCTTGCAGGTAAAACAACTTGTGGGAAGGGGGGATGCTTTGCAGCCTTCTCAACCACCTCAGCACTGACGTTGCCTACATGACGGTTCAGAGCAGGAATTTCTTCCCTCCTGGTTCCCACCAACCTTGCCTTCCCAAGAGACTCAGGAGACTCCAGTGAAACCTTCCTGTTTGCTCTGCAAACTGTACGAACAGGAGTCCCATGACTAAGGGAGAAGCCATGGGGACTTGAAAACATGTCACTGACTCTGACCTGGTCTTAGTGAAGGAAGCTTCCATAAAGTCAGCTCAACTCTCTTGGCACAGACCTTGCCCAAACTCCAACTTGGAGCTGGTTTCACTGTGGCCTGCTCAGCTTTCTTAGAGATGACCTTGCCTACATGCCATCAGAAGCCAGACTTCCCTGCAGCCAACTGCAGTGTCTCAGCAGGGACATGGACGCTGAATTCCTGTGGCCTGCTGTCACTCTCTGCCATTTCTGGGATAAGGGGAAGAGGAGCAGCGATGCTGTCCTTCAAACCCTCCTCAGTGCCCAATTTTTTTAAGTTGGACAGTTTTGAGGTGGAAAAACCTCTAAGTCAATGAAGACACAGAGACACTTTGTTAATCTTTTATACATCCTCTGAAAGTTCTGATACAAAGGGAGACCTGGGAGCCAGCTGTTTGTGCCACCCAGAGGCAGAGAATTTTGGAGAGTTATTCCGATTCCTACGCCCAGGCCCAGAGAAAAGTTCTGGACTGCCTCCAGTTGCCATTGACATGGGGAACACCTCACTGTGCAGACTATTTGACATGAAGGAAATTGAGAAAACATGCAGCACCCCACTATTATTGAAATATACTACTGCAATCCACAGTAAATTCTATACTTACAGTAATGTTACTGCAATGTTTCAGACTATTACTATAAGATATTGTATTTCTAAATATTTTTTAACATGGTTATCAATGTCAAATAGAAAAAGCATTTTTGATGTGACATTGAAATACAATATGGGCAAGTACCCCTTACTGCTCTTCAGTAGTTAATGCTCTTCTAAAAGAAGAGCACATTCTGACTAATATCAATGATACTGGTGAGTAAAGAGAGAAGGTAAAATAATGTCTTTGGCTTCTGGTATTTCTGAGGTAACCTCTATTTGTTTAGTGATTTTGTTTATGTTTTTTACCACAGTTCACAAAAGATGTAACCAGGACAATACAAAAGTGGGAAAATATAGCACATTTATTACATATATCTGTTTCTTAAATATTACAACAATATCTGGTAGGTAATTTGATCACAGGTGGAGCAAACAATGAAGAGTAAATAATGAGGCAGAAATTGTGAGTGGCACACTTACCTCTAGCAATTTTAGATTATCCAGGTCTAGTGAAGGCTCTGATGCTGCTGCCTCCATCATGTTCATACTGTGTAGACCTTGCTTACGGTCCCCTGCAGATACAGGAACCAAGTTCTGATAGTTAAGATTTTATGCAAAAATACATTTGAGAATGGTTACAGAACTATTCTGGGACTTGACGGCAACAGTGGCTGTTACGGTGAAGGACATGCCAAGCCAGGAGTAACACTGCAAACCCTTCTCCCCCGAGCTAGTAAAACTAAGATGGGAAGCGTAGGTGGTAGGGAAGGTGATGGCTACTTGCTTCACAACTTTTCTTTTGTGCGTGACACAGAATCCCACTGGTGCTGGCCTTAGAGAAGACTGATGGCTCCACTCCAGCTATTTGTTAAGCAGAGGATTCATGGAAGAAAAATAGAACCCAGATTGAAAACATGTAGGAGTCCTTATAAATTTCTATGGGCCATTAAGAAATATATTTAAAGGGGTGGGAATAGAGGGAGGTAAGGGAATTATAATTGTGAAGAACAGTTAAAAGAATAATATGAAAAAAGAAAAGCTCATCAAATTCTACCTGCAAGCATCCTATATCCAAAGAATATAGCAGCAATCAAAACAGCTAATACAGAGACTGAGGCCAAGGCAATAACAATAGTCTCATCTCGGTGAAAAGAATTAGATGAATCTGAAAGAAAGGAGAAAGAGTATATGTCATTTTTTTAATGTACATTAGAAAGATTCAGAACTATACAACAGACAAAGTAACAGAAATGAGAAACAAATCATGCTGTATGGATTACACTATATGTCCCTAATTTATTTTTATCTTTAAAATTTAAGGAGGAGAGAACAGTTGACTAGCTAAACATGGTTGAGAACATTACCTCTGCAGCATCACCAGGGCCTTTCTTGCCTGTATGGCGAGTGAGACACCAAAACTGGAAACTGAATCACTGTCTTCCATATGGCAACGTACAGAACAACCACACAAGGTTGACTGTTAAAAATACAAATTGGAGGGCTGGGCCAATGTTATGAATGACAAAAGCTGTAACAAGTCCATTATATTACTAGAAAATGCTATAGTAGTGTAATAATGTTCAGGACTTCTTCTAAAACGGTCATTCGGTTATGTTGATTTAATGAACTTGGCATATACATTCACCAGAAGGTTCCTCTATCCTCATATGATTTCTACTTTTAACTCACTTGTTTTCCTCTCATCCCTCATTTCTCTAGGTTTTGAAACCCATAAACTGTACAAGGACTATATCTGAAATCAAGACATCTTAATATAATTAAAATCCTTAGTTTTCTTTAATGAATAATAATCCTTCAGAAATACATTGCAGCATGAAATCTAGGAAAGCAATCAGCAGCTGAAATTAAAACAAGTTAGACTCAAAGGTTGATGGTATCTCCCAAAGCCCTGAATTGATTCCTGGTCTCTCTAAGTGCACCCACTCAGATGTCAAGCCTCATGATTTTCTCTATCCTGAGGTGGAATTTTGCTATTCTTCCACTAATAGACCAGGCCTTGGGCTACCATATCCTGTGTATCAACAGTGCTGCTGGGTCAGACTTGAGTCAGTGGCATTGCAACGTGGCACTGCAACGTGGCACGTGGGGTTACAGTGCTACTCACATTTGGCCTGCCACTCACTAAAACCTGGCCCAGCTGACTCTCTGTGTTGCTGTGACCTCGCACATGAGATCACAACATCCAGACCCAGGCCCATCCCCATGGAACAGGAGCCACCAGTGCTGGGTATGGGGAGGGCTCGCTCTCCTACCACCTCACCCCCAGGGACTCCCTTCCACACCAGACCCATGACCCAGCTAGGATCTTGACTGGCACAAAGAAAGGAAATACTGGAAGTTTATGATAAACTCTGAATAGGGCAGCCCTAGGCACTGGAAAATCCAGCAAACAAGATGTCACAGGGACCTTAATGGCTGTTGGCTTTGGAAATGATATTTAGAGTGTGTATACACCACTGTTTGCAAAGCCCTATAAAACCTTCAGTCAGGGCCGTCCTTAGGTATACACAGCATACTCGGCTGTGTAGAGCACCCAAAATTTGGGGCACCATTTCCCTCACTGGTTGCGGCTGGAATCCTCTCTTCTCCGGCTCCTCCCCTGCGCTGGGCCAGTGGGCTTCTCCCCAACCTCAACCCCACCCTCCCCCTCACTCGCTCCTCAGCCGGCTGGCTGAGGGCCCTAGCCTCAGGAAGCCCAGAGCGACCCGGCCCACCGACGCCCAGAGCAGAGTCCCTCCCTGGACCCTTCCTGCCTGTGCCGCTAGATCTCTGGCGGGGGACGGGCCAGGGCAAGGACAGGAGGAGTGAAACTTCCACGTGAGTCAGGTGGGTGGTGGGTAGGGAAGAGCCGGGCCGAGCAGGGGAGGGAGGAAGGGAGGAACTTAAAGTGAACTTCCCTAATTATATCTAGCTAACACACACACACACACACACACAGTCTCTCTCACACAGATCAGTTCTCACACCCACAGAGATTCTGCCTCTCACAAGTCACAGTCCCCCAACACAGTCACATAAACTCTCTCTCTCTCTCACACACACACACACACACGAAACATTACAAAAAAAAACTATGAGGAAGTGAGTAATTCTGTATTTAGAACAGGATGTGAATAATATGCAGTAAATAAGGCCTGGGATAGAACTTTGAATGACGAGGATAAAATGGAACACTAAATGGCTGTTCATTTAGTGAGCACCATCCATGCTGTACATTGAACGAGGCAAGGGTCCTATAGAAAAAATAGTATGTGATCATGTAATTAAAGACTATCAATGCATACACAGAAGGGGCCCAGTTAAGGCTAAATAGGCAACCTTAAAAATGGTGTTTCGTTACCTTTGAGTGCTTGACTTTGCAATCATAATATTCGCTTAATGTAGCTCTTTGTATGTAATATATATAAACAAGTAGACAATGTAGAATAGTTGTGCAGATCTGTATTATATATATCATATCATTCTATTTCAGAAGTAATATGTGATCAAATAATTAAAGACTGTATTGTAATGCATATTTTTATATACATTAAACAACTTTCCACTAGTCCTCTATGTTGCCCATTAAAGCTCAAGTGCTCTTGTGCATATATGGTCTGCTTTGTACTTTATACAGTAAATGATTAACTGATTATGTTTTTCTGGCATACAAAGAACATGAGACAGTGCTAGAAGATACTACGTATATGTATGTATGTTGTAGATAAACACTTTATGATAATGCATTACTTGAGAAATAGTTTGTGATTATTTAAATAAAGACTGTATTGTAATGAATAAACACAAGGGGGCAGGAGTTCACGTAAGGTTGTATGTGCAACCTTAACCAGGGGCCTCTGTAGTCCATGTCTTTTGTCTGTAATATTTAGTGAAATTAACTCTTGCCATATAATTGTACTCCAAATGTAAGCTCTCATTTAAAACACTAATGAAGTTTCCAACCTTTAAATATGCAAGAAAAACAGTAAAATGTGAACTAATTAGAAGAAATGTACAAACAGGACAATGTTGTCTTCCTAATTCTTCAGACAACCTAACAATTGTTCAAGAAGAGGTGTTCTGCTCAATGAGCTGCTAACATCAAACATGAAACACTAAATTTACTACGGCCATGATCCTATACAGCAGGGGTCAGCAACCGTCGGCACGCGGCCCATCA